AAATAAATAAATAAATAAATAAATAAATAAATAAACAAACAAGCAAACAGAGAAAAATAAATAAAAAAATAAAAATACCCTTTGTTCCACAATAAAGAAGAAGAAGCGTTGCGAGAACGAGAGGGGAGGGGGGAAGAATTTTGCGTAGCGATGCGATGCGACACGCCTCGCGTCGTTGATGCGCGAAACGTTGATGCAATGTTGGGAAGAAGCTCTATAAACCACGGGTATGCGTGGTTTCGCGGGTAATCGAAAACCCATCGTCGCCGTACTCGTCGTCCACTTTCGAGAAGACCCATCCGTTCCCACGTGGGGAAACATCCGATCGACGAACGACGTCGAGGCCCTTTGACTTCGAGATGACCGAGAGAGTTGGGGGAGAGGAGGGGGGGGGGGGCGAGCGGAAGCGAAGTACCTCGATGGTACGAAGAACGCCGCGGAAACGCGGTTTGGAACGCGTCCTCCTCCTCCTCCTCCTCCTCCTCCTCCTCCTGCTCCTCGAAAACTCGGCCGACCGACTTGGACTTACTCCGTCGTCCGTTCGAGCGCGATGAGGAAACGAGGTGAGGGCTATGAGGGGGCTACGATGAGGCTTCTTCTTTATTTTTTAAGAACGGGAAAGAGACGTTTCGTTTCGTTTCGTTCCCCGTCGGGGGTGAGAAACGACGTGTTTCTCCGTTTTCTCGGGGTGGAGGCAGGGAGGGGGGAACGGCGTGTAGGTTGCCGTCGGTGGTCATCGTTGGAGAAGGTCGGTGTGTGGCGCGGCGGCGGCGAAATTGGCTTAGTCATCGTCGCGTTATTACGGGATATTACGGGGTATTAGCGGGAAGAGCCGCAACGACCGACAACGATTGCCGGGGGGGGGAGGGGGGAGAGATCGGCCTATTCGTGAATCACGCTTCTCCACCTTGCGAAGCTCGTCCAGGAATTCCAGGAACGAACGAACGAACGAACGAACGAACGAACGACGCGACGCGACGCGACGGCAACGCGAGGTAAACCGAACGAATAGGAGCATTTAGCGCTAGGCGAGGTGGAGGGGAGGCGTGAGATCGTACGGCAGAGCGTGAGAGGCAGGACGTCGAATATCCGTGTATCCTCGTTTCAATCTCGTTAATTTCTCTCTCTCTCTCTCTCTCTCTCTCTCTCTCTCTCTCTCTCTCTCTCTCTCTCTGTCTCTCTGTCTTCGTTTCAGGATCGATCGATTGACGGCGATGATAGAGGAAAAGGATTGGTAAGACGTCTTTCCAATGATGCAAGCTCGAGAAATTCCGCGTGACGTGTCGCGCACGCCTACCGACGAAAACGCGATCACGCCAACTTTTCGTTCCACGAAAGAACCGCGCGAGGGATAGTGGAACTACGCGCGCCACTAGCGGGAATTCGTTTCACCGATCGATCGATTCCCCGAAATCCTAGCAACGTTCTCGTCTCTGGTCGTATAAAACGATAGCGACACCGGCTCCCTGGTATTTTCGAGGTGGTATTATATGAAGTAATTAGTCGATTAGACGAGAATAAACGAGGGAGAGAGAGAGAGAGAGAGAATCGATCGAGGAAAAAAAAAAACAAAAAAAATAACGACTCGTTCGTGGATTCGCTTCGCGTACACGAATACTAAGAACGAGACGAATAAATATAAAGTGAATCTAAAGTAGTAAAGTAAAGTAGAAAAAAGAAGAAGAGGAAGAAAAAAAAAAGAGAGGAAAGGGATGGGGGGGAAGGGGCGAGGGAAGGAGGAGGATTGGTCGTTTCGAGGCGACTTTTGACCTGAACCAGCGCGATTACTCCAATCTCTCTCCGCTCGTTCGTTCTCTCCGATTTTGTTCCATTTAACGGTTCTTCCGGTGATAAGAAGGCACGGACGAGGCGGCGCCTCGTTGCTTCCGCGTCGCATGCTCCCGTGCGTGTTGCAAAGAAAGCAAGAAAATTCGTATCTCGAACTCGACATCTCTCGCCTCGTCGAGATCGGAACTGAAGATGCAACGAGCGTGTAACAGGTACAAGCGTATACATTACACNCACACACGTATATATAGCAGTAGAATCGATCGACGACGACGACGACGATCGAGGAACGAAAAGGAAAACGGAATCGACGACGGCTCGCGGTGGATCGCGATTGGAAGCGCGAGTGGAGCAGGCCCCAACCGGCGGGGAGCAGTAAATGGGATGGATATATACGCGAGTGTGCGTTCCCGAGTACGGTATTCGGCAGTCGGCGCGCGACGTTCGAACGGAGCGGGTCGCGTTTTTCCGTCCCGTTCCGTTTCAAGTTGTCGCGGTCTCCTTCGATCGCCATCGTCACCGTTCGATCCCGATCGCCAACGACGGAGCGAGGGCCGCGACGCACGCCCTCCGCACTCTGCGCCCGGATACGCGAGAAGAAAATCAATCGATAAGAAATCGTCGTAAATGTTGGATCGGTCCGTGTTTTAAGATGACCGCCTCGGCATTGCCCCATTTATCTTCCTATCCATCCTATCCCATCGATTCCGTCTCGCTTCCGTCGTCCACGCCGTCGTGGCCCTCGCGGTCCTCGCGGTTCTGGTCCCGGTCCCGCTCCCGCTCCTGCTCCTCCTGCCATTCGTCGCGATCCTCCTTGCCTCGTTCCCCGTTACCAACGCGCAGAAAGAAGAAATCGAACCGGTGGACGATCCATCGTTGCGATCTGTATCGTTTGAGATTACGTCACGCGATAAAAAACGCGAGGCCCCGAATTCTCGAAACGTCAAAATAAGAATCACAATTTTGGAGGGAGGGAGGGAGGGGGGTTAGGTTAGGGAAGGAAGAAAGTGAGAAAAACGAATTGGTTCGTGTTGTTCGTTACGCGTGACGTAATATATATGTATGTATATATATATATATATATATATACGAATGTGACGTAAAAAAAAGGAAAAAGAAAGAAGAAAAAAAAGCGAGAGGGGCATGTCGATTCCAAGCGTTGGAAGATATCGATCGGGAAATCAGAGAAACTCGGGAGACGAGACGAGAGGAGAGGAGAAAAGTGAGATATAAATTGAATCGAAGAGATAGGGGTGAAAGGTGGATCGCGAGGTTAAACTCGTGGATTGAGGAGCCGGCTATGAGAGGAAAGCTGGCGACTCGTGGTCGACTCGTGACCCGTGACAACGAGGGACAAGAAGAAGAGAAGAGGAAGAAGAAGGCGAAGGCGAAGGCATCGGTGCGGTCGCTCGAGCGCGATTCCGGCCGCGCTCGCGTCGCGCCGCTTCCTATTCGCGGGACGACCATCCCACGGATTGGACGGACGGAAGCAGCGGTCTCGATCGAGGGGACGGCGACTCCTCCGTTGAGCCGGGTGATCGAGGATCGGCCGAGGATAGCCTCGATCGAGACGGCGCCGGTCGACAAACGTCACCACCACCATCGCTACCACCATCGTCATCGCCACTATCGTCACCACCACTACCACCACCACCACCACCACCAGCATCGCCATCGTCATCGAATATTCGAGAGAGATTATCGTTGGAGAATCGTTGGGCGAGAGAAATGGACGAACGAAGAGGAGAAGAATGGAGGAGGAGGAGGAGATCGGTGCCGGAGCGTGATCAAGATCGACGGATCGTCGATCTCTCGGTTATTCGGGATAGCGACGTTGGTGGCGGTGGCGGTGGCGCTTTTCGTGCCGATCGCGTCGCCCGTGCCGCTCTCTGGAACCGGTCCTCGCCACGAGGACGACCTCCACCGCTTCACCGGTCTCGAGGACGTCTACGAGGATGTTTTCCGAGAAGAGGATCGAGCAACGACGTCGAGGAGCATTGTCGACGTTCTCGACGAGACCGAGCTCGATATTATCAGAAGGAGCATAGCGCGTGGTCTTGGCCTCGAGAGGATACCCGACCCTTCCAAGGTGAGTCGTCTCGTTTCCCTTCCTCCTTCTTTCCCTCGCGTTCCGATTCCCCTCCCTCCTGTCTCTCTCTCTCTCTCTCGCCGTTAAAACTTACTCTACTCGGACGATCACGATCGATACGGGAAGGAAAATAAAATATCCTCGGTCGTGGAGCGAGACGTGGAGCAGAATACGTATAGAGCGCGAGAGAAAGGAAAGTTACGGTATAGAAATTGGATTTGCGATTGTAATGTAAAAAACGCGCGTGAGGTGAGAAAAAGAATGGGATGAAAGAAAAGGACGAAAGAAAAGGATGGGAAAGAAATGGCGGGAACCGCGATGGTGCAACGCGGTGGGTGGTCCGCCGTTGCCCCACTTTCGCTACGTATGCACGAGCACGTGCGCATTCCTGCTAGTATGCAGAACCGCTAGTATGCTACGCTGTCCACGTGCGTGCCAACGATACCCCGCTTCTTCGTTTTCTCCAACCGCGATCGCTCGGTCGTTGCACCGTTAAAAACTCGTCGAGTTTCCATCTTTAAATTCCGACCGGTGGCCACCTTGCGATCGATCGTAACCGATGGATAGAAAACGGTATAACACGAGCTCGTCGGATGGGTGATCGGGTCGATGATCGAAAAAACGTGATCGCTCGTTTCGTCGTTCGATCCCCGAATCGAGGACCGAAGCGGGAGAAGAGGGGCCAAACACCTATTGTCGCAGCCTCTATAACTACTAGCATCGCCGTTATACGTGCACGCGACACGATCAACCTCGATTCTTGGCCGTCCTCCAAACTCGAGGACATCCTCGAGAAACGCGTGAGAGTACGCGACTCTCGAACCCATCTATATACGTATATACACATATGTATTCCTGTATACCTGTAATTACATACGTATACGCCGAAGGGAAGATAGAACCAGTTATCTTTCTAGTTCCGCATACTATTCTCATCTTTTACCTCGTTCCATTATCTATCTATCTATCTATTTATCTAAACACGATGCGTAGTCTTGTACACGTTGCGAGTCGAGGATTATCGATTTTTGGAAAGAGAAAAGAAAGGCAGGGGAAGGGAGGAGTCGCGATTCCTTTTCTCTTTCCGATTCGACGAAATCGTCCACTTTCACTCCTTTCTTCGTTCTCCCGATCGGAGAGACGAGAGATCGAGTTGGAACGGACGCGCGACGAACCCTCGAGGCCAGAGGAGGCAGAGGATTACGCGAAGAATGCGGACCGACTCGTCCCTCGATACACCTAGATGGAACACGTAGCGCCGTGCCACACTTCGCGAAACGTCTTTTCTCTTCGAGATTTATCGCGTGGGAGGTAAGCGAGCGTTCACTCAAGGTCGTCCGCATTCGTGCCAACGTCGAACGACGTCGCGATGCTTTCCTCCTCACCGACTCTCTTCGTTTCCCATCCGTCGCTCGCTTCGAAACGGAATTTCGTTCGTCTCGAAGGATCGTCCGCGATTCGTTACTCTTCTCCTTCTCCTTCTCCTTCTCCTACTCCTTCTCCCTCTCCTGTCTCCCCCCCTTCCTCTCTCCTTCTTTCATTCTACCGTTGTTATTTGTTCGCCGAGAAAATATCTTCGAAGTTTCGCGATAACGGGCGTCGTTGGGTAAGCGAGCGTGGCAGACCGAGACGAAAGACCAACGAACGCGACGAACGTGTGACACCGATGACCACAGCTGACCGACCTTTCGAACTAGTCAAGCGGTTGGGGCACCGGTCGGCAAACGATCTCTCTCCGCTGTTTCAATCGAGCCACCGCGCGTTTCTTAATCGATTTACCATTCGTCGCGACCAACTTCCCTTTTTTGTATACTGTATATACATAAAACTGTCGAGTTTGAAAGAAAACGGACGGTCTCGACGAAGCGGAACTCGTCCCAACCGACTTTAAACGAGGAGGCTGAATAAAAAAAAAAAAAAAAAGAAAAAAAAAGACTCCGTCTCCCTCCACCAAGTTGGGTGAGAATCGTGGTCTTTCGAGAACAACGCCGTCCCCGTCCGCAAAGTTGAGTGAGAATCGTGGTCCTTTGAGAACAACGCCGTCTCCTTTCCTTCGATCCTACGAAGAGGGGATCTATTTTCCTCGGTCGGTTAAACGTCGGTTTCCAACGTTGCGTTATCCCCCGCTGCGTGCCGCAAGTAGCTAGGCCCACGCGAGCTGGTTAATTTTACCGGAAACGTCTAGCGTGTCTGGACTTTCTCACCATGGAAATTATATACCAACATCGGCGACGGCGAGAGTAAAGTAGCGAGAGCGAGGAAGGAGGGTCGTGTTTCGAGTGGAGGGGGGAGGGGGGAGGGAGGGACTCGAAAATTGCAGCAACCAGCCTGGAGGAACGACAAAGGAAAGGCTGAAGAATAGGAGAAGAAACGAGTGCGAAGGGGTGTTGGGGAAACAACGGAGAATGACGGATGAATTACGAGTGGCGGCGAGTGGCGAGTTGCGAGTGACGGACGAGACGAGAGAGGAGAGACTAGAGTCGTTGAGCTATTGACTCGCGACGTTGGAAAAAGAAGAAAAAAAAAAAACGAGTAGAGAGAACGNAAGAAGAAAAAAAAAAAAACGAGTAGAGAGAACGATTTTCGTTTCGGAATAGATTCGAATTTCTCCGACGCTCGGACTTCGTTTCCAAAAATGTGAACGATGTTCTTCGTGTTCGTTCGTCGGACGTTTATACACTTCTTGTTTCTCTCCTTTTCCCCCCTCTGCTTTTTCTTTCTTTCTTTCTTTCTTTCTTTTTTTTTTTTTTTTTTTTTTTTAGGCAAACGTCAGTCAAGCCGAATACGAGAGAGCGCACAGAGAGTACCTGATGAGAATACAGTCCTCGTTTTCCAACGAAGCGACGACATTCGGAAGCGAAAAGAAGCTGCACGTGTTTCCCGCTACAGGTAATTGTACCACGACTTTATCCTCTTCTCTCGAATCATCGATACTTTACTATCCGGTTCTTTCGAACCGAAGATCTTTGGAAACGCGAAATATCGTACAGTCTTTCTGAAAAAATATACATACGCACGCTATAATTACTACTCGTGTAAACATCTAACGTTCGAGTTTCCGCCAGTCTGGCAACGTCGGCGAGATTTTACCTCGCGTATCTGGAATCGAGACACGCATCCCGCCCGACACAATCGCATCTCTATTCACCTTCCATTCCCCTCTTTGTCCTTTATTCCCATCGATCGAAGCCTGTTCGATTGAGAAAAATAATTGCGGATCGAGCGCAAAAGGGCAAAGGCGATTTTCGCGTTCCAAGTTTCATTCCAAGTTCTAGTCTATACGGATATCTCTGCGAGAGGCAACTACGTTATTATGAAAGAGAAATTCCGACCGGCATGGAATGCCGAGTAACAAGTTCCCAAATGCAATAAGAAGAAATCGTGGAGGAAGAGCAATTTCTCGACGTCTCTCGCACCACTTTCGACGACCGATCATAGACTTGATCGATCGTAATCGTTTTCGTCGCGACTTATTACTGCTATTACTATTATTGCTACTACTTGCTCAAATGGTATAGTCCGCGTATCGAAAAATTATTCTTGAAAATATATCGAAGACACGATTTTGCTAATGCCAATAATGAACATAAATGCGAATATTTTCCTCTCGATAACGATAACCGAGAGATTCAACCTCTTTCGATCGGTCACGCGTGTTAAAAAAATAATTACAATTTCTCTTTTCGTTCGATTTCGTAATTGCTAATCGCTTTACACGTGACGCATACATCGTAGCGACTCCTTTCCCCCCACTCTTATCGATTTTTAACGTACAATATGTGCATCCAACTAGTATCAAGTATCTACGTATCTCTAATCGTTATAACGAACGAAATGAAAATTGGTCGCGTGCCATCCACGAATTACTTCTGGAAGTTGGTAATTCGACTAATTAGCCGATAAAAACGACGAGAACGATTTGAGCTTTAAGAATACGCGAGAGAACATATCTATTCCTTCTCGTATTCGTATACGTTTTCATCGAATGGTAACATCCAGGAGTCGATGATCGCGAAAGGAAAAAAGATATGCGGAGATGAGAAGATTAGCTAGAAAAAATCGTGAAAGAGGATTCAAGGATTTTTCATTTACATAACCGATTCAACGTCGTTGTTGTTTATTCCGTTTTGATTTGATTGTATGTTGCAGCGTATCCTGGAAATGTATCGACCGAGACGAGCGAAAGGGAAAAACCTTACCGTCACTGCTTGTTCTTCCCCGTGGAGAAGGATTTGGATCGCGCGACTGTCGATCACGCAACGCTTCGACTGTTACTCCACGGGCCTACGACCGACCAATATTATTCTCAACCTTCCGAATTGGACGTGTTGCTCTATCTCGGAGTATCGTCGTTCCCTCGTCGGTCGATAAGATTGATCGATCGTACGAGAATACGATTGGAGGATTGGCGAAACTCGAAATGGCTGGAACTTGACGCTACTCTCGCCGTTTCCTCGTGGATCGATGCTCCCCTTTCCAATCTTGGACTTGAATTGGAATTTTTATTGGACGGAGAAACGGTGACGCGCACCTTTTCCTCCCCGGTTCTTAACGTGTTCACCGCGACTCCTTTCACGTCGACCACCGCTCTCAGACGCAAACGTTCATCGCCCGAACAAGTGATGTCCCTTCACAGAAGTCGTAGGACCAAGTGCAAAGGCGAGGGTAAAAAGTGTTGCAGACACGAACTCACCGTCATGTTTAAAGATTTGGAAGGTTTCGAGTTTATCGTTTATCCGAAAACTTTCGATGCCGGATATTGTAAAGGACGATGCCCGCCTAGATACAATCCGGCTCATCATCATGCTCTTTTACAAAGTCTATTGTGGAAAGAAGATAGAAAAAAAGTGCCTAAACCGTGTTGCGCGCCAAGTAAACTCGATCAATTGATGATCGTTTATTTGGACGAGAATAATTCCACTCGGTTGAAAGTTTCCGATTGGAAAAACATTCAAGTACTCGAATGCGCTTGTTCCTAAATATTTCCCTTCTTCCTTTCGTTCTTATTTTTCGGAGGAAGGGATCAAACAAATCGACCGATGGTAATTTTTAGCCGTGAATCAACAACGAATTTACCAACAACAAACCGATGGATAGGAACGATCGATCGAACTTAAAAAACCTGCACGAAAGGACCAGAGTTTTCATAGTCGTAGACGACTCACCAAAGAATCGTCCGAACGTTGTTCGTTCTTTCCGACAAATCCAACGTATTTTTTATTAACGCATTGCACCAATCTTTCTTTTCCCGTTCAGTCCCTTACTGTGCTTCATAAATGCGTATGTATATGTGTATGTATCTATTCCGTCGCGATGTTTACGAACGTAATCGATCGATGAAACAGTTTTTTTATGAAAAACGAGAACGCGAAAAAAAATTGGATCGTATTACTGTTCAACGGTCGATTCGATTCGGCCGAGATATCGTCGAAAGCCCCGGTCGTTTGGTCCAGGCTTTTGCATTGACTGTGATATTGAAAAATGTCTAACCCTTAATGATCGAGAAGCTGCGCTTAAATCACACATGTTATAAAAAAATGTGTTGACTGTTAAGGGCTAATATCTCTGCTTATAGTAATAGTATTTCATATCTTTACCTTCCTATCTTCTCTTCTCTATCTTATTTTTTTCAGCTATTTTGTGTATATGTGCTGCCCTTCTTTTTTTCTTTTTTTTTTTTTTTTTTTAATAAATACTATATGCGTATACAATGACCATTACAATGACAACAGGGAATTCCTAATGGGAAAAAGTGCAACGGCGTTTTTGATCGTGTGGTTAGTATCGTTTAAACGAAATAGTTTTATTCTATGTATTATTTATTTGATCAAATATTCAACGATTATTAATTCGTACATGGTTATCAAAATATTATCGAACGAACTTTCGAGAGATCGTATATATACATATATATATATATATAATTTTTAAAAAGATCGAAGGTTCGATCGAAATTTCGTAAACATGACTGACGATCTTTGCACGTCGAGAAACTTATTTACGGACTTACAAACGTAATAGATATTCGTCGACTATTTACTAATAGATTCTAATAAATCTTGCTTCAATTTCGATGTAAATGTATACACGTCAAATACAATTCTACTGGTCTTGTTAGTATTAAATAATATAAATTAGTATAAAAGTTAGTCCTATTATTATATTATATCGTGAATATGCGAATATACATTGTTCGCCGAGTCAATTTCGATCGCGCACCATAATGGACATTGTGACCTCGCGTTATATATTCTTTAATTGACTACTATCGATGATGTAAAATAAAATTTTATTTCTTATTTATATAATAATTTATGACTATTATTCGATTCGATGAAATAATACTCTTTATTCGATTTCCAACTTTCTTTTTTTTTTGTCTAATAAACCTCGTAAATATCATCCGAGTGCTCGCTGACGCAATGACGATACAAAGCGACAATAGACGTTATCCAACGCGACATATGTTTGATATAGGTTACACAGGAAGAAATACAAATCTACGAATAAGGCAAACTTTTCAATAGCGTAACATGTATACAGGGTTATCACTATGCGACAGCAATAAATTTTCATTGCTTACCCTACGAGGCCAAAGCTCATTCTACCGACATCGGATTATGCAATCCGAGACAATTCATTCATATTGTTGCGTTATCTTTGATTTTGTTTAAAACCAAGTTATTTATGGCAACTATATTGTAATTATGATATATCGATTTATTCGTGCGACAAACGAATCGACTCGATGGAAACTCGAAAAAAATTTTCGAAAATAAAAAATAATTTCGTAATATCATTATCTCCTGTCTGTTTTGCCGATGCCTCGTTTTCCCGAGAATAAATGTTTTGGCATTTTTGTGCCGATGAATCGGTCTGCTTCTCCTTTCAACCCCTTCTTTGCGATTTTTTTTCTTAAAGCTTTATGGGCAATATTCTTCAATTTGCTCTTCATCGCAACATCTTTTATACCCATTTCATCGCGGCTTGGTTTTGAACTACTTCGTCCTCTAGATCGAGACTCGGATTGCAATCTCATGCGTTTTCTAGCTGGTTGCGACAATGATCTTGAACGTCTCGTTTTGGTGAAGTGTGCCTATTGAAATTAAACGAAAAAAAAACAAACGATAGTTACGAATCTTATTAGTTATATTTTTTTATATTTCAATGCGTTACTCACATTTTCACTGTCTTCCATATCGATACCCAAATCTTCCATTTCTTCTTTCAATTTTGATACTGATCTGTCACGAATTTTAGCTGCAGCTGTACGCGGCATTATGGGCTTTGTAGAAGCCTTCTGTATTCGGGCTTCGTCTTTCATGATGGCTTTCTTTTCTCGAATTTGTTTGGCCATTTGTACAATTTCTAACATTGTATCGGATAACATGGGCACTTTGTAATCATACATTCCTGTCTCTTCGCGAAGCTGTTCCTCTTTTTCCAATTCGTTTAATTTCTACAGATAAATATGCACGTATAAATATAAAGTTATACTCGAACAAATTATCATATACACATTTTGATTCAACTAATAGAATACAAACATTGAATATTTCTGGATCGATGTAATCACTGATATTATGACCTTCCCAAATTTCCGGAATTACATCGTATTTTTGATCACCCTCGATATCGTAGTTTTTCTTCAAATCAAGAACGTAATCATCTCCCAATTCTTCCTCTATTTCTCGTTCTAATTTTCGTTTCGCTTTTGATCTCTCTTCTATATTTTGTCTTTTTTTCAAAATGTTTTCGGGAATGCAAGGAGCACGAACTTTTTCATCTCTCGGTACCGGTTGCGCAACATGTAAACGATTAAGTAATCCCTCTACCTAAGATCGAAAATATTGCAAGATTTTAAATGTTACAAAATATTAAAGTAAAATGCTTAAAAACTACTTTTAACTTACTTTCTTTGTTCTTATTTTCTGATCGACACGATATGCTAACAAACGTTCGCAAGCTTGTATCTTTACATCCATTACCCCAAAATCCGTGATCGTACTCATTTCCAACAATGGAACATCTTTATCCTCCAAGGATTTTAAAATTGCTTGTTTCTCGGTTGAAAGTTCTTCGAAACGTAAAACGTCTACTTTGTTTAATATAACTGTCAAAGGCTTGTTAGCGAACAAAGGTTTAATTGATTCAAATAATTTCACCTACAAATTGAAACTATTGAATTATATTAAAATAAAATTTATATATTCTCGAATTATATATATTCGAAGAATATATATATATATTCTCGAATTACGAATTCAGTTAAGCAACATTTTACCTGTTCTTCTAAACTATGACCACATTGTTCTGATATATCGCAAAAATAAAGTACAGCTGCTCGTAAATGTGCGAGTGCAGTTATCGCTTGCATTTCTATCACATTTCGTTCTTCGAGCGGATGATCCAGAATCCCAGGTGTATCGATTATTTGCCATCTTAAATATTTGTAATCTGTATGACCAACGTATAAGGACTTTGTTGTAAATGCATATGGTTGAACTTCAACATCAGCACGGGTTATCTAAACACATCGACCAATATAATTTATATCTTTCCATTCATGTGTAATCTAATGATTCAATTAATTATTCAAATTAAATTACCTTATTGATAAAACTGCTTTTACCAACATTTGGAAAACCGCATATTATTATAGTACGAGTATAAGGATCTATGCTAGGTAAACGAGCTAAATGTTGTCGTACTTGTTCTAAATATGCTAGATTTGCCGCTTGTCTCTTCATTATTGTCGCCATACGACCTAAAGCAGCTTTCTTTAATTGTTTGCACCGATATAAAGAATCTCCATATTTCATCAGTCGAACATAATCCTTTGCTACACTATTGCATAATAATATATTTCATTGAAACATGATATTTAGACAAATGATATCTCTATGTATGTATACTTACTTATCGATTAAATGTCTTGCTATATTTATTTGACCAAGAGCCAATTTATAATGATCTTTATCATAAAGAACATTCATTAAATCAGCATAAAATGGATGAACATCGTCTAATTTGGGAAATTCCTGTATGATTTGAGATAATCTGTCATGAAAATTTTGTTGCGTAAATTTCACTTTACGCATATAAAATGATCGTATCCTTGCAATTTTATAATGTTTGTGTATAACGGTTGGAGTTTTCCGTTGAGTTTTTGATAAAATTATATCAATAAAATCCTAAGCAAGCAAAAATATTTATTAAATATAAAACAAATTAATTATAATGAAATAAAATATTGAAGACAAAACTAACCTTTGCAGTAGGTACAATCGCGATTTTCTTGAAATTGTACAAACCCATTATTATATGTTTTCTTTAAACTATCGTTTTATCAAAATTTTATACTATAAAGTATATGTTTAATATTCAATTTTGATAATAAAACTCGAACCAGAAAACGGAGAACACGAAACCACGTGTATACATTATAATTTTACGGATAAAAATATATTAAATAACGATATCAGCGCCATAACGGTAAAGATAGAAAATTGAGTTTATAATTGGTTATGTTAGACAAAAAGATTATAAATAAGTATATAAATAAATTACTTATTTATTTATTTACTTTGTTTATTTAATTGTAAAATATTATTATTCAAAAATCATTTCTTATAATTTATAAATATGAATGCAAAGTTAATATCAAAGTTTCTGTTCCTTTTTAAATCTATATAAAAGTTCGTACACAATCTTATACATGTATAACATTCTCTTCAATCAATTAAATATTATATATATATATGTTTTAAGTTTAAATATACTTATATATTTATTGTAAATTACGATTGTAATATGATTTGATGATGTAAAATATCTAACTATTATAATTTATCGTTAAATTGTAAAAGAGAAAAAATTATAAAATATATATTACTTTTTGTTGTATTTCAATTTATTAGGATTCATAAAATATTAAAAATTTATCAACTATTTACATTGCAATAAATAATCAATTTATTTTAATTTTATAAATTTACTTCATATTAATATTTTATAAAAAAAGAAAATTAAAATATAATGATAATCAAAAAATATCTTTTACAGGCAAAGCGCAAGCGCGACGGCGAGTATGTACTACTTGGAATTTGTCGAGACCGATAAAGAAGAATTGTTGACGAATGGATAATTTCAATAACTTTAAAATCTTTTAAACAAAGTTATTATTACTTTTGCATTAACGAAAAATTCTACGCGTCAACGTGTCATCAACGCAAAGCGAATTGAAATGACAAAATAGGGACTACAAAGTGTTGAGAAGAATGTATCGCATAAGAGGTACCGTAGTTTACAAACGATCGTTAGCTAGCGAGAATTAACATGATTCGTCCTGCCATCTTGAACTGTACCATATTCTATCATTGCTAAATATTTTGTTCAAGAAAGAAATATATAGTATTTGTATGATATAAATATCTATGAATTCATATTGCACGTATCTTTTCATTTTTAAACTTAAATCCAACTAAAGATATAAAGTAGATTTAGAATTCAAATGTCATTCTTTGCCATTTACAACAAATTGATCTATTTAAATGTATGTTATAAACTATTGTAAAGAACACACGTAGATTGTAATTAATTTCGTATTCGCCTTAAACCTTTTATAATTATTAAATGATAATAATGTAACGTACGATAAAAAATTACGATAAAAAAAGAAAAGACGAAAGCAAAGAAAGTTCCTTAAATTTACGAATGAATTCATTAGTAAAATTACCTAGCAAATCCATGTTTTAAAAGATACGTTATTTTGCGATTTAAAAAATAAAAATTATTCGAAGAAGATATTTTAATAAATATTTAAAATAAAAAAATTAGATGAAAAATTAATATTTTTTAAACTAATAATTTTTAAAAAATAAAATTCTTTCAAAATAGCAGAGATCTTCGCTACTATCGATATTTCTTCTATTAGAATATCGATTGTTGTCATCGATTAATAAAAAATTACTTTTGCATTAACCAAGTTTTTATTTTATATGTTCATAAATAAAAATGTATTTATTTAGAATATAATACAAGATTTTTGGAAAATTTAAATTATTATAAAAATTACTGTAATTTAAAGGAAAAGAAAATATTTTCATCTAAAAAAAATCGATTTTAGAAAATACTCAAAAAATTAATTTTGAAAAAAAAGTTAAAAAAAAATTTTTTTTAGTATTTTTTTTTTTTTTTTTTTAAAGAAAAAAGAGATTTCTTAAATTCTATCTATTCTACTTATAGATCGATTCAGACTTTAAGTTATTTTATCTACATAATAATAAAAAATCATTCGATTTATCAAACCAATAGTGTCTTGAATGTTTTTATTCATGACTGACAAGTTTTCAAGCTCTTTT